TAACCCGTCGAGTTGCTGTCGTTCTTTAGGACGTATTGCCACGAACGAGTTTATTACAACCCCCTGTCGAGAATCCAGTCATGTTTCAAAGAACTGGAACTCACTAGACTTTACAGACGCGTGTGCGAATTCACTCACGTTAAGTATTTTACTTGTACAACCATATATACATGACTGCTCTGCACAATCGTAACATTATGTTACAACTATATACATATATATATTTGTGCACTATATACGCACGCTTCTTGAACCACACTACACACCGCACATATATGAGTCAGATCTTATGAAGACCTATTTGCGAACGTTTGCGCGAGGCATGGAAGGCAGAAGCAGAAAGGCCCTTGGAAAAACAAGACCAGAAAGTCCATATCTACTTTCGGCGACTTGTTAGCAACTTCAGGGTCTATAACGTCGCCAATGTCGCGGTTAAGTTGTTCTTTTTTATTTTTGTGTTTTTTTTTTTTTTAAAGAAAAGTTGTGTCATGCCTTCACTTCTCCCCTTTTTTTCTTGTGCGTACTTTCAAACGTCGCCAAAATCTGCTTTTCAACTCAATGACAAAGTGACAACCATGTCGGAGAGGGGAGAAAACAATTTTAAATAATATAACTTGATAAGTTATAGATTTTAATATTACATATTACTATACTAAAATTTGCATAATCTAATTTACTTATTTGGTTTAATCTTACTCAGACCTAATTCTCATGTGATCTATTCTTCTTTAAATCTAATTCTTATTTGGGAATAATTTTTAGCATAATACAGGCCAACAAAATTTTGGCTTACTTCCGAACCAAGAACCATACTATACTTTTTCTAAGTATTTTGACTTGCTGAATCCAAATCTCACCTCAGAATTGACCCAGTACGTTAGGTTTTCGAGATATTCTAACCTAAAATATGGCCAAAAATCGAATTTTCTGCACGTCAAAATGCTTCGGAAAGATGTAGTCTGATTCTTGGTTCTGAAGTAGGACAAAATTTTGTCGGACTGTGTAATTCTCATACACAGCCTAATCTACATTAACATAATTTGTTTCTTGTAATTTTTATCTAGTTTAATTCTCATGTAATCCTTTTTTTAGCCTAATTCTTAATTAACATATTTATTTGTAATTAATATAACAACAAATTTTACCTGCCCTAATTTTTATGTAAAATGAATATTAAATCATAGGAGAATTATAGGTTAAGTGACAATGAGGCCAAATAAGAATTAGGTTAAATAAAGCAAATTAAACAAATGCGAATTAAGTCAGATGACAAATAAAACCCAATGAGGATTGGATTAATAGCAAAAATTAAGCCAAATAAATAATAATATCAAATGAATAATCTGATGCAAAATTAAGATTCTTTTACATCACTATTCAGCAAAATTAATATTCTACGAGACAATATTTCGCATAAATTGAGATTCGATGAAATTTAATTTCTGGCAAATTTATTTTCGTCTAAATAAAATTTCTGCAACATTGATAATAATCGGTTTAATGGAAATTCTGCAAAATTAATATTTCAATAAAATTGATTATTCTGCATATAAGTTAATATTCTACAGAATAAAATTCTATCAAATCATAATTCTAAAAATTTACGTTTTAGAACTTATTCATGCATCCTCTTAATTCCTGTGTGGCCTTAAATTTTCTGGACCTAATTTTTATTTGGCTTAATTTTTTTTGAAACCAATTTATATTTGACCTAATATTTATTGAATCTAATTCTTATGTAACAGAATCTTTACTTAACCTAATTCTTACATAATTTGTATATGACCTAATTTATATTGGACCTAATTCAGGGTGGCCGCAAAATTTTATTTTCAAAATTCCCTGACTAAAAAAATTTTTGAATTATTTAATATTCTGCATTGCTGATTGAAATTTTTATAATGCTTTTTACGTAACAATTTTATTCATAAAGGAAGAGATAAGATAATTGAACATTGTTTGTCCCGTGTGGAAATTGAAAAATGGTCTTAACTTGGTCCTATCTAGTTTGCCGTTTTATTATCTAGGTCCTATCTTGGCAGTCTAACTTGGTCCTAAAATGGTTGGTGATGCGATTTTAGCCTGGTTCTAATTTGGGTGCCTATTTAGGACCAATATAAGGGTCCTTTTTAGGTCCTAGATAGGATCAGCTTTTTTAAAATTCACATAATTTTAATAGGATTTATTATTTGTTAATAAATTTTGATAACATAATTTTGTATTTTATATTGAAATTAATATATTTGCCTACTTTTAGTACATACATATATACAAAAACTTACTTATAAAATCTTTGTTTCTTTACGCATATATAATATATATTACCATGTATGTACATAAATAATGTATTAACAATCAAATATTCGTAGATTTTTTAAAAAAATAAACATTTAAATATAACTGGACTTTTACAAAGGTTTAGCTTGCACCCTATGATTTAAATAAATCAGTTTCTTCCACTATAGTTCTCTTCGATATAAAATCTTTTTTTTTTTTAATTATAGAAAGTTTCTTTGAAAAAAATTATCTTTGTTTCAGAAAAATTTTAATTTTTTTAATCAAAGAAATTTTTTTTGATTTTATATTAGTATTGAAACTTCTTTGATTGAAATTTTTATTCTTTTAAATTTTGTCAACTTATTTCAATCAAAGAAACTTTATGTAAATTTTAGAAAAACTTTTTGTTTAAAAGGAAATTTGTTTCGAATGATACAAAACAAATCAAAGCAACTGACTTTTTCAAATAAACAATCCCTTTTTTCTGGGTGTATATAATAAAAATAAAAAAATGTAATCAATAATAATAAATAATAATAATAATAAATCAATAAACAAGCAAAATTACATTGCACTTTTTACAGAAGAACTTAACCTCTAAATAACTTCTGCTTATATAGTTTCGTCCGTTTCGTCTGCTAGGGTTGAAAAAGTAGGGGCAAAAAAATTCAAATTAAATGTAACCCTTCTCATTTTGTTTAATATAAATTTAATTAATAATTAATTAAAATTATTAAAAAACTATGGTATATTTTTATTTTTTTATTATTGTATTTATATATTTTTTTTTATTATTTTATTATTATTTTATTATTATAATATTATTATTAACACTATTTTCCTAAAAGTATCAAATTGAGACCAAAAATTGCATCAAATCTTTGCAACGTTTTGATGCACATAAGTTATATCAAAAAGAGGTCGTTTTGTGTATCATTTTTAGAAATGATACACGAAACGGTCTCATTTTTTGATGCAAAAAATTTAATCAATTTATATCAATCATGGCCGAATTGAATCGACTCAAAATTAAACGAATTTTTTCAGATATTTTGGTAATAGTACAATTGCGGAGACCATTTCACTATTTAATTTGAAAATGAAAATAACAGAAAATCAAAGACAATGTGCAATTCGATAATTAAAAAGTGACAGCTTATAAACATAACCTAAAATGCATGAGAAAAAATTTGTCGATAAAATCAATATAGCTGAGCTTTTTAGAAGGTAGATGGCAGCACTCATCTATTTTCTTTCTTTAAATTTTTTCTGAATCGTTTTTATAAAAAGCAAAACTGCCATCTACCTTCTAAAAAGCTCGGCTATATTGATTTTATCGACAAATTTTTTCTCATGCATTTTAGGTTATGTTTATAAGCTGTCACTTTTAGTAGTATAGCTAGGAGAGTTCTAGACCACTTACCTACAGTCGGTAAAGTAGATTCCTGTAATTTCTGCTTTATCAACCGTGTTGCTGATTCCTACCTTACCGACCGAGTTAGTTCAGGCTGCCTCCGCAAGATGGCGCCACTAAATTTTTATCAACCAAGTTAAAGTCGCTTGGGAATGGGGATTTTTGAATTTCGCGCCCAATTTACCGACCGAGTTAGTTCAGGCTGCCTCCGCAAGATGGCGCCACTAAATTTTTATCAACCAAGTTAAAGTCGCTTGGGAATGGGGATTTTTAAATTTTCCCGCCAATGTCGGTAAGTACTTACCGTCAGTCGGTATTGCAGATCCCTGACATGACTTTTGACTCGATCGGTATGTCAGAGTTCTACCTTACCGACCGAGAAACTATCCCAACCCTGATGGTGTTTGAATATTTCTGCTATATGAAATTTTATCAACTTTGGTATTAGGACTTTTCATATTTTCAATATATTTTATTTGAGTTTGAAATTTAATCTGAAAAGAGAATATTTAAATCTCGCACTGCTATTTGAATTTGAATTCATTCAACTTGCCGGGGAATCCCTCAGCGCTTACCATCTGTTCGCGCGGCAGTCTCGGGATTCCCAAGTCTATGCGCGGAGCGTGCAGTGGGGAGTGTGCTGAGTTGTGCGCGCGAGTATGGGGCGGTGGGAGTTACCAATTTGTGGGAAGCACGGAGAGGTAGGCGTGCTAAGTTGCACGCATTGAAGGTGAAGTTATGGTGGGGAACAGGGTATATCTTGGGGAGTGCGAGCTGGGAGCATCACTTTCTTGTGTGTTCACAGGTGTTGCAGAGAGAGAAGATTTAGGAGCGTCAGCAGCAGTTTTTTTTTTAGTTTCCTTTCAGGTTTTCATTTTTTTTTCTATTGATTTAGGTTTTTTTCATTTCGTTTTCAGATTTTCTTTTAATTTTAGATTTCAGGTTTTTTTCAGGTGGTGGTGGGTTATTATTTTCAGATTTTTTTTTAATTTTAGATTTCAGGTTTTTTTCAGGTGGTGGTGGGTTATTATTTTCAGATTTTTTTTTTTAATTTTAGATTTCAGGTTTTTTTTTTCAGGAGGTGGTGGGTTATTATTTTCAGATTTTTTTTTAATTTTAGATTTCAGGTTTTTTTCAGGTGGTGGTGGGTTATTATTTTCAGATTTTTGTATTTTAGGTTTTTTTTTAATTTAATTTTTAAGTGTACATTTTTTTTCAGATTTTTTTTTAGGTAGTGGGTTATTATTTTCAGGTGGTGTTGGGTTTTTTTTATTTTTTAGGTTTTTAGATTTTTAGGTTTAGCCTCACGATGCCCAAGTGTACAGCCCCAAAGAAATCGAGGCAACGAATGAGCTTGGAAGAGTACAATGAAGTGTGTCTGGAGTCGGACAACTTTATTAAAATCGCAGAACGTCAGCTCATCACCACTATGGGAATGACAGGTGATGATAGATTTATTAGCGCATTTGAATGGCAAAACAAGTGTCAGCGTTATAAAAACATAATGAGATCTTTTTTGAGAAAATCTGATTTTCTGCCATATCAAAAATCAAGATGCTTGAATTTAAATCAGAAGCTCGAATACTTGCGATGCCATTTTGATGTTTTAATGAAACGTGGTGCGGGTGTGCAAATGGAGACTGATAGAATGAAGTGGGTGGATTTTGAGGGTGCGTTTGATGGTCGTTTGCAAACAAGTGCTATAATTAACATCGATTACGTGGATATTAACGAATTCCTTGATGATGCTTTTGCCTTATTTCAAAGCAACATTCAAAGGGCTTTAAACAGGTTTGGTCCGCTAAAAGTGTATACCGTTTTGGGTGCAAAATTCAAAAAAGATTCAATTGGTGGTGGGGAAGAACTTTCTGATTTAAAGACGTTTATAGCTAAAACCGATGAAATTCTAGTTACAACCCAACTAGATGAATGGTACAATGTTAATGTCAAACAACCGACTTTGAGAAGAATTGAAGAATTCCAAGAGAAAGACTCTAATTGGAGACTTGATTCAATTCAAAGACTGGAAGTTAACATTAACAAATTCAATCCCATGCATGCTGGTTCTTATATCGATTTACCACTTTCCATTAAAAAAAGAAAAGCATGTATTAACGTTCAAAATTCAGATAACGAATGTTTTAAGTGGTCAATTTTGTCAGCCTTGTACCAAGTTGAAAATCATTCAGATCGAGTTGCAAAGTACAGACCTTATGAGCATGAACTTGACTTCACTGGTATTGAGTTCCCTGTTGCACTGAAAGATGTTTCAAAATTTGAGGCTCTCAACAACATTTCTGTAAATATCTATGGACTTGTCAAGAGGGATGAAAAGTTTACAGTGGCACCTCTGCATCTTTCCAAACAAAAGAAGGTTACTCACGTAAACCTTCTTCGAATTGAAGACCACTATATTGACGAAAATCTCGATGATGATGTAGAGGATAACAAAGAATCCATCATCTCTTTCAACTACCATTATGTATGGATCAAGGACTTGTCGAAGCTTGTGAGCAGTCAACTGTCAAAACACAATGGCAAAAAGTACATTTGTGACCGTTGCCTACATTATTTTCGAGATGAAGTAAAACTATCCGAGCATGAAGAAAACTGTCGAAAGATGAATGAAACGAGAATTGTGCTGCCAGAACCAGGGAAAAATTTTGTTGAGTTTAAAAATTTCCAAAACAAGGAGCGCGTACCTTTTATCATATACGCAGATTGTGAGAGCCTCTTGCTTCCTTCTGATGTGCAACAAGAACCGAGCAATACTGAGGTCTTTCAAAATCATGAAACTCTCAGTATTGGATATTATGTGAAATGTGCCTTCGATGACTCTATGTCTGTATACAAAGCATCTCCTAGAGATGAGAAAAACCCGGCTAAATGGTTTTCAACAGAGTTAAAAAACTTGGCTGACAATCTTGACACTTTATTTAAGAATCCGGTACCAATGGAAGTGTTAAGTCGACAAGAGCTAACTGATTTTCGATTTGCAAGTATATGTCATATTTGTAAAAAGAAATTCAAGCCTGGGGATGTAAAAGTAAGAGACCATTGCCATCTAACAGGGAAGTACCGTGGGCCCGCACATCAAGATTGTAACATTAATTATCATGAATCGCAAGTAATACCTGTTGTCTTTCACAACCTAAGTGGTTATGACGCGCATTTCATTATTGAATCTATTGCTACAGAATTTGATGGTAAAGTTGAACTGCTTCCTATAAACAAAGAGAAGTACATTGGCTTTACGAAAAACATTAAAGGTAGTTTTATCAAGTTTCGTTTTATTGACTCTTTTAAATTCATGGCATCATCATTGGACAAGTTAGCATCCTATCTCGACGAGTATAAAATTGTTCATTCAGTTTTTTCGAATTACAGTGCTGACAAAATTCAGTTGTTAACGCGAAAAGGAGTTTTTCCCTATGAGTATATTGACTCGAGGGAAAAACTCGACGAAACTGAACTGCCATCAAAAGAAAAATTTTATAGCACTTTGAATGATTCGAATGTCTCCGATGAGGATTATGCTCATGCGCAAAAAGTGTGGAGTGAATTTAATTGTCAAAATCTCGGCGACTACGTGTATTTGTATATGCAAACCGATGTATTGTTACTCGCGGATATTTTCGAAAATTTTAGGAGTCAATGTTTAATCGCATATGGACTTGATGCAGCGCATTATTACACGACACCTGGGCTGACATGGGATGCCATGTTAAAGTATACGAATATAAGATTGGAGCTCCTCACTAACATTGACATGGTAATGTTTATTGAACGCGGAATTAGAGGTGGGATTAGTCAGTGCACTAATCGTTATGCGAAGGCTAACAATCCTTACATGGAAGAATTTAATGAAAGTGAGGAAACATCTTATATTGTATACTTTGACGCAAATAATTTGTATGGTTGGGCCATGATTCAGTCTCTTCCCTATGGTGGCTTCAAGTGGGAAGAAAATGTTGATATTAATTTTGATTTTAACGTTGCAGATGATGCGCCAATTGGCTACATTTTGGAAGTTGATTTGGATTATCCAAATGAACTTCATGAAAAACATAGTGATTTTCCGTTTTGCCCAGAACGCTCGAAGCCACCAGGATCAAAAGAGCAAAAGCTCCTAACTACCCTCCTGCCGAAACGAAAGCACGTTCTCCATTACCGTGCTTTGAAACAAGCTTTAGAACATGGTCTTGTGTTAGTTCAAATTCATCGAGTTTTAAGATTCAAGCAATCAACATGGCTAAAAACGTACATTGATTTTAATACAACAAAAAGAACTAATGCAAACAATGAGTTTGAAAAAAATCTATTCAAGTTGATGAACAACGCGGTATTTGGCAAAACAATGGAGAACGTGCGAAAACACGTTGACATTAAACTCGTTACAAAGTGGGAGGGTAGGTATGGAGCTGAAGCTTTGATCGCGAAACCGAATTTCCACAGCAGGGCCATTTTTAATGAAAACTTGGTTGCCGTGGAACTTCGGAAAATGGAAGTCTTGATGAACAAGCCACTGTATGTTGGACTGACAGTCTTAGATGTTTCAAAAACTTTAATCTACGATTTCCATTATGATTACATGTTAAAAAAATATGATGAAAAGAAATTGAAATTATTGTACACCGACACTGATAGCCTGATTTATGAAATCAAATGCTCTGACATTTATGCTGATATGAAAGACGATATCCACAAATTTGATACTTCCGATTACCCGGTGAATAACGTGTACAATATTCCGCAAGCCAACAAAAAAATTTTAGGAATGATGAAAGATGAATGCTGCGGAAAAATTGTAACAGAATTTGTTGGCTTGCGGAGCAAGATGTACAGCGTTCGTGTTGAAAATCAAGATTTCATAAAAAAGGCTAAAGGTGTAAAAGCTGGCGTTGTAAAAAAATCTATTAGTTTTGATGATTACGTGTATTGTCTCCGAAATGTAAATATGCAATCTAGAACTCAGTATACAATCAGATCAAAACTGCACAAAGTGCAAACAGTAAAGCAAACCAAAATTGCATTGAGTCCTTTTGACGATAAAAGATATTTGTTATCAAACAGTACCGACACCCTTGCATGGGGACATTGTAAAATTGTTGAAATTATGGATGAAGAAAATTAACCAATTATATATTGTAAAAAAAAAAAAAAAAAATGGAGAAAATGATGTTTTTAATAAAAGAAAAACAAAAGATGTACATATTATGTCAATTTTATTAGAAAAAAAACCTTATCCTAGATACAAAATTTGTTTAACTATTTTTAACATTACTTTAACTATTTTTAACATTACTTTAACTATTTTTAACATTAATTTAACTATTTTTAACATTAATTTAACTATTTTTAACGTTACTTTAACTATTTTTAACGTTACTTTAACTATTTTTAACGTTACTTTAACTATTTTTAACGTTACTTTAACTAT